TGTTGAGTTTACTGAGATTTCTTGCATAAGTCAATGTATTCCAAGCTTTGCAGTGAAAAGACTATTTTACCATATTTAAAGATCACGTACAGTAAAGGCTCAAACGAAAGTTTTTGCTCCTGGCCATGTGGGACCCCGAGAAGTCTGCATGCGCACCACTAGTCTAAGCTGGACAACTATAACCAATATTTCCTAAGGAAAATGTTAATCATCCCCTACAATTGTTACTAACAAAACAACCAATGTTTTTTTTAAAAATTTATTTTTTCTTTTTTAACCTTTAAGCCTATGTAAGTGGTAAAAATAACGTAAGTGTGTAACTTTGTATATCTTTTCTCGTTATGTGTATTAATATTTATAATATTATGAAAAATTCTAAGGAATTGATTGATATTGATGTCAATTCTATCAAGTACACAACAAAATTCACACAAGTATGAATACTCATGTAAAAGCCGTGTTTATACCAAGATGTTTTGTCTTTGATTGTTTTTGCTTTTATGTAATAAGTTTTGGATATATATATATATATATATATATATATATATATATATATATATATATAGAAGATCGCTCATAAGTGGTCACGTCATTATGTGTGGTCGTGTGATTGTATCTGTGTCGTTGAATCAGTTTAATCTAATGGCAGTGCTAATTTTGAGGATTTTCGTGCGTTTTGGTAAGTGGGGGTGTTATGGTAATTATTGTAACCATTTATAGCGGGCGGGTTTCAGAATACACCAACAATGTTGACAGCATACACCAATAGTGTAATAAAACACACCACAGTGAAACGCACCAATGATGTATTCCCGTGTTATGGTAATTACAGTGGCCATTTATAGCGGACGAGTTCCAGAATACACCAACAGTGTTGACAACATGCACCAATAGTGTAATAAAACATACAACAATTTGATTTTCTCTATTCTGGTGTTTTATGACGAGTTTACCCTTGCAGTTCGCTAGGTAGGAGAATGTGCGCGAAAATACTGAAAAAATCTTGATTAATATGATTCATTGGATCTATCTAATCTAATGGCCTGACCATATAACCACACCTAACAACATGGCCACATGTGAGCACCCTTATATATATATATATATATATATATATATATATATATATATATATATATATATATATATATATATATATATATATATATATATATATATATATATATATATATATATATATATATATATATATATATATATCTGTGTGTGTGCGTGGAATGAAACGGTTGTTAATAAATATAAAGTTGAATCTGGATGGAATTATTGCGAAGAAATTATTAGAGTGTTTTTTTTTTAATGCTACTGACTCTATTACATTGTAGTATCTGTTCAAACATACTTTCTCAACCTAATGAAGCACACAGAGTCAACAACGCCTCCACTGAGGCTCGATCTCATAACCTTTCACATGGGAGATGTCACTACATTGGAGTTTTGTTTTTAATTTTTAACAAAAAGAAAGGAACTTTAGCGTACGCTGACTATATTTTTTTTTTCTAGTATACCCAGGATTTTTAGTGTCGTACATAGTAACTAATCCCTTTATTGTAGGCACTTTTTTTAAGTAGAACAACTAGCCTGAAGATTTAAGGGTGACTTCATACCCAAAGTCAAGGATTGAAACTTTTTCCCATATATATATATATATATATATATATATATATATATATATATATATATATATATATATATATATATATATATATATATATATATATATATATATATATATATATATATATTAGGGTCTGGTCTGCGGGCTATGGGTCTTAGCGGGCCAGACCCGTTAGGCCAGCTATTATTTCGCAGTCCATCTTTTTTGTAGCCCTAATCCGCCACACCGCGCGGCGGGTGCGGGCCAGCCACTTTGACAACCCTAGCTGTCCTCGTTGCTAGGTTGGGCGAAGGAGATGAAGGTGGATAAAGGAGGAAGCATTATGCTATGGAACCGTATTCATAACTACTAAACTATTTGTTCATAATTATAAAGCTATATATTCATAATTTTTGAACTTCATATTCATAATTATTGAACTCTATATTTACAATAACAGAACTCTATGATCATAATTACTGAACTATATGTTCATAATTATAAAGCTATATATTCATAATTTTTGAACAATTTCCAGATCTTCATCTGAAGCAGAATACAGAGCGAGCTATGACCCTTGCTGCCTGCGAGATTCAATGGTTGATCTTCTTGCTCGAAACATTGGAAGTAAAAATAGAAGGACCAGCTATATTGTACTCCGACAGAAAATCAGCAATAGCCATTGTTGAAAATCCATTTTTCCACGAACGTACAAAACATATAGAGATTGATTGCCACCTCATAAGGGAGAAACTCCAAAAGGGCATTGTCAGGCTTTTACATGTTTCCACTGATAATCAGATAGCTGACTTTTTCACAAAACCCTTACAACCATTGCCATTTCAAAATTTTATCTCCAAGCTGGGGCTTCATTCCATATACACTCCAGCTTGGGGGAGGGGGGGGGGGGGGGGGGGGGGGTTATTAGAGGATAAAACCACTACCAGTGCTTAATAATAGTATGTTAGGCAGTTAGTTGGTTAGTTAAGGAGCAGTTACTTTCAGCTTGCAATATTGCTTCTAAATTCTGTATCCTCCTATATAGCTTCCATCTCTTCTTGTAAAGACAGTTAGTCAGTTTACTAAATGAAAACAACAGTTCTTTTCTTCTTTCGTCCAGCTTTCATTTTGTGCTAAAATCAACTAAAATTTGGCTGATCAACCAATAACAAAACACCCTATTAGTATGTAAATTGTGAACATTTTGAATAATTTGCGCTTAGGGGCCTGGTGGTTTCTTTCCTAACCTGTGTACCTTACGAGCCTATATTCGATGACTTGCCACACTTTGACCTTTAAAATTTTTGCCACTTCTCAATCCAAAAACATTGTACATGGATTCTAATTACCCAATCGTTACATCGTGAACCAAGGTGCACAATGCATTGTGCGCCCTGTCCAAAACGATGTCGTTTTATCTGTTAAGAGTTTATGTGTATTATGTTAAGAGTTTATGTGTATTCTGTTAAGAGCTTATGTGTATTATTATGTATTATGTTAGATTATGTGTATTATGTTATGAGTTTATGTGTATTATACTATACAATACTGTACATTTGAAATGTAGAATTTTTATTTTTAGAAGTTAACGACAGAAATGAGAAACGAAATTTATAAAAAAAACGGATATAAAATGATGCCATTTTAGTTAGGGCACACAATATAATTTACCAGTCGTTATATCGTGGACCGCGGTGCATAATCGATTATACACCGCGCATCAAAACGGTGTCGTTTCTTTAAGTATAGAAACGACGCGCTGTTAGTGTTAACGGAGTGACACTACAGTGTATCTAAACCGACACTGCCTCACGTATTATTTTTATATTATCAAATGAAACTGCAGTTATATCAAAATGATACTGTAGTTGTAGTGAAATGAAACTGCAGTATATATAAAATGAAACTGAATAACATTTCACATATTTGAGTCTATATTGTACAATGAAGCTGTAATTATATCGAAATGATCATGTAGTTGTGTTTTAATGAAACTATAGTGTATATAAAATAAAATTAAATAACACTTTCACATATTTGAGTTTATAAATAATATTGAATGAAACTGTAGTTATATCAAAATGAAACTGTAGTTGTGTTGAACTGAAACTGCAGTGTATACAAAATGAAACTGAAGAACAGAGTTATTTTTTACGGAACGGATTTCGGTTCTTTTCATTAAATAAATCGACATCGTTTTGATGCGCGGTGCATAATCGATTATGCACCGCGGTGGACGATATAATTTTTCATAATTTACCCTTTAGTCTAATTAACTCATTGATCTCCACTTTCAAGCCTAATTTGACGTTGGGCTTAGGCCCCATTCTTCTCTCAAGAGATTAAAAAAAAAAAAAAAAGAAATCACAGGCCTACGCAAGTGCGCAGCGCAAATTATGCTGTGCAACCGAATGGGCAAATTATGCTGTGGATCTGTATGCACCATGCATGGTGCATACAGATCCACACCGTTAACGGCGTTTACTTCCTTTTTGAGTTTGTTTCCAAGTTTCAAACTCAATCGATATCACCGGAATTGGCATTCGATATCACCGGAATCGCGATCGCAATCTCAATCGCATTCGCAAATCGCAATCGCAAATCGAAATCGGAGTGGGGATCGGGAATTACAAAGTGATTGCTAGATGGAGGATGGAACAGAGCAGACGAATTCCGCTGTTGGTGATTGGCATTCGATTCAAGGTGATCTTGTTATTGTTTTTGCAATTGTTCATTTTGGTTTTTTGTATGATTATGTGATTAGCAGTGATGTTTGTGTCTAGAATCTGCAAATAGTTGTGCAAAATCACGTAAGTAATTTCCATAATTGTATAATAACAATTCCAGAATTTGAAAACAATAATTCCATAATTTCATAACTATATTTCCAGAATTGCATGTCTATATATTCAGAATTAGCGGGGTACTCTGTTTTGGCAGTTTGTTGCGACTGTGTATCCAGAACTGTATAACTATATTTCCATAATCATATAACTATATATACAGAATATGTAGGCACTATGTTTTTGCTGTTTGATGAACTGTTTGAAGTAATGTTCACCATGTCTATATAATGTAGTTAGTAAAGGCATTGTGGATGGTTCAGTGAGTTCAGATCAAGTAGATGTAGATGTTGATGGATCTTCATCAATTCCAGGTTTATTCATAGTGGTTTACCTTTTAATTAGCAAATTCTGGTTAGGAATTATATGTTAATGGAAATGGTTATTATTGTGTTATATTTGCAGTTGATCAAGATTTGGTTGGTTTGGTAGTAAGTAATGCTGATGAGGCTTTTGAGGTGTATAACAGTTATGCATATAGACTTGGTTTTAGTGTGAGGAAGGGTCATCAACGATACAAGGGATCTACGAACACAATTCAAATGAAGAAATTTTGTTGTTCTAAGGCTGGTTATAAGGCAAACAGTGGGGTTAAGGCTTATTCCAAAATTGACACAAGGACAGGGTGTGGAGAGTTTGTTCAATTTGACGTGGGTGATGATGGGTTGTGGACAGTTACAAAACACGAGAAAGTGCACAATCACGAGTTATGTGTGTTCAACAAGAGTCATCTACTTCGTTCACATAGGAGTGTCGGAGATAATCAGCTCTTATATTTACAAGGTTTGAAGGACAGTGGTGTTGCATTGGCAGATGGTATTAGGTTCCTAAAACACCAATCAGGGGGGTCCCCTTTAGTTGGTTTCACCAGTAGAGATGCTTATAATTCAATGGCTGCGGATACTGTCAAGCGATTGGATGGAACGGATTCTAACTCTTTAATTGAAATTTTTAGGAGGAGGCAGTCTACCGAGACTGATTTTTTCTTTGATTTTGAACTTGATTTGGATGCAAGGTTGTGCAGTTTTTTTTGGAGGGGTGGCCAAATGAGACGAGATTACGAGGTGTTTGGGGACTTGTTAGTGCATGATACGACATATCGAACAAACAAATACGATATGATTTGTGGCCCTTTCGTAGGGATGAATCACCATTGCATGAATGTAATGTTTGGATGCGGGTTTTTGATGAATGAGAGGATAGAATCGTTTGTGTGGTTGTTTAAAGCGTTTTCAAGATCAATGGGTGGCAAGTCTCCACAGACTATTATGACAGATCAATGTGCAACTATGGCTGTTGCTATATCTAAAGTGTTTCCAACATCACGTCATCGTCTTTACATATGGCATATTGGTGAGAATTCAAAGAAGCATATCAAGACGTTAAGGAACAATAAGGATTTCTTGGATATGTTTAACTACGTGTTGAAATACACAGAGACCGAAGCTGAATTTCAATTCTATTGGACAAGGTATGTTAGTAATTAATCGTTTTTATTGCATTACGTTTCATATGCATATGAATTATGGATGTATAGTATAGTAATTATGGATGTATAGCAGGTGAACTAACTGGTGGTCACTGGAAATGTAGTCTATGGATTATGGATGTATAGTGCATCAATTATGGATATATAGTATTTCAATTATGGATATATAGCAGTTGAACTTTACTGGTGGTGCCTGGAAATGTAGTATATGGATTATGGATATATAGTATTCCGATTATGGATATATAGTATATTGATTATGGATATATAGCAGTTGAACTTACTAGTGGTGTCTGGAAATGTAGTAGTATGGATTATGGATATATAGTCTATCAATTATGGACATATAGTATTCCAATTATGTATATACAGCAGTAGAAATTCTGAGTATGTGTTAGATGTGGTGATGCTGCTTGTTAATATTCTGCTTCATAAACATTTGGGATTTTGTCTTACCATTTTCAGGTTGGTGACTGACTATAAATGTCACAAGAATACTTGGTTAGAAAAGCTATATGATTGTAGGGAGAAGTGGTGTCCAGCATTTAACAAGGACTATTTTTCTGGGGGCATTCTATCATCACAAAGGAGTGAAACTACAAATCATTCGATTTCTAGAAGGTTGTCCAAGACAGCGGGTCTTTGTGATTTCTATTCATCGTTTGTAAGCGTAATTTCTGAATGGAGAAGTAAAGAGAACGGTGAAGACTTTTGGCGTGCTCAAGGGGTACCCGCTATGATGATGGAGCATGTGAAACTTCTTTCACATGCTAGAGAGGTATACACGATTGAGATATATTTTCTGTTTGAGGAACAATTCATGAAAGGCAGTGCGTGTCATCAAGAGATGGTGTTGAATGATGGCCGTCAACAGAAGTATCACGTGTGGCAGCCAGATATAGATATTATAAGGCATGAGGTTAGTTTTAACGCAGCCAACTTGGACATTTCTTGTAGTTGCAAGTTGATGTCTGAGTTGGGAATTCTATGTTGTCATTGTATACGCATTCTTCACGTACATTGTGTTTCTAGTATCCCCGACAAATATATACTTAAAAGATGGACTAAAAAGGTTATTGATGGTAGGAATGTCAACATTGATTCTATGATTTATAATGTTGGTGTTCCTCCATCAATTTGGGTGTTCGATATTAGTAGAAAATTTCAAAGATTAGTTGTGTCTAGTCAAGATAGCAGCGTAGCTAGGAAATTGTGTGACGAAGCTGTTGATGATGTAAAGAAAAAGGTTGAAGCCGAGGTTGGGCATGTGCATATTGAAGAGTGTGGTGTTTCATCTTCAAGTGGTGGTGTTCAAAATCCTTCAAGTCGGAGATTGAAAGGTGAGCGTAACAAAAGGAGGAGTGGTGTTATTGAAAAGAAGTACAGTCTTGCAAGGGGGAGAAGGAGTGCTGCAAATAAAGCTGCATTGAGTACAAAGGGTGTTGTTCAGTCTTTGGTGTTGGAAAACATATCCAAGCTTGCTGGGGATGGATACCTTGTACATCCAAGTTCTTCAAGTTCAGATTTTGTTCAGTTTAATAAGGGTTTAGATGACAATGTAGGTGTAGATTGAGAATTACAAGTTGTTATCATTGATTTTATGCAATTATGGACTTTTAGTTTTGTAATTCTGGATATGTAGTTTTGCAATTATGGAACTATAGTTATGAAATTATGGAATTATAGTTATGTAATTATGGAATTGTAGTCATGCAATTATGAAAGGTATGCAATTATGAAATTATAGTCATGCAATTATGAAAATATAGTTATGCATTTATGCATGTGTAGTCCCCATTGTGATGGAATTTGTAGTTATGAAATTGTGGTGTATAGTTATGCAAGTATGGATGTATAGTTTTGCAATTATGGTATTATTGTTACGCAATTATGGAACTATAGTTATGTAATTATGGAATTGGTTATATGCAATTATGGAATTATAATAATGAAATTATGGAATTATAGTTATGCAATTATGGAACTATAGTTATGCAATTATGGATTTATAGTAGTCATGCAATTATAGATTTGATACATGAAAACAAAAAAAAAAAAGTAAAGAAAAGAAAAGAGAAAGAGGTGCATAGATCAGATGTAAATTGTTATTCAGCTATTAACATCATGCATTCACATTCACAAAATACAAGTCACATTGTTAGTGTAGTTCACAAAAACTTTCTCATTATTTAGAATTCAGTCAACATGTTGAAGAATATTCATTCAATTCTTCTTCGAAACTCTTTTGGCCGCTTGCAGAACCTCCCCCCTGACTTCATTCATTCTCCACTTTATGAGGTTGGCAGCATATTTCGCTCGCAGTTCACACATGAAGTTTGCCTATAAACAAAGAACATTAAGTAATTAGTCATTTGCAGTTTTATTTATTTTTTTAATGTATTTTGAAACTATTGTATGGTAGTCTTACATTCAAGCGCATATTCTTCTTGAATCCTGGCTGCCAGTCTTGTAGAGTCCCTCGAAATGTCTCCATATGCCGGAGTACATAGATCCAGCAATCAGTGACATTTTCAGTGTTTACCCAGTCCAACTTAAGGTACTTTATATCAACTTTTTGCAATTTCACATACAAGGAGTGGCACTCGGCCTTAAGGTAACCACTGAATGCTTCAATCTGGTCAGAAAAGTTAGTTTAGTGTTAATAATGCTTTTAAGTCAATAGATAGGTAATGGTAAGAATGTCAATTTTTTTTTTTTTTTATCAAAATTACCAATAAGTGTGGGCAGTTGCCATATTTGTCCTTCTCCGAAACATTAGCTGGTAACTCCTTGTTGTCAATGACCTGTACTTTATGTTCTTTCACATTGAAGCAGACCAAGAAGTAGTGACCATGGCGATGAACTGCGAAAAATATCTAATTCCAATTCAAAGTTAAAGCAATGTTAGTATTTTTTTTGGACATGATAAAGTCAAATTGGACATGGGTAATAGAACTTACCAGATCTGCATCACTGATGTCTAGGTTCCCGAAGCTGGTTATTTCATAGCTCAATCTCTCATTGAAATTCTTCATTTTTATGTGAGTTGGGAGATCCTTCATCCACTGGTCATTGGGATCAATTTGAAGCTGCACATACAAATGCAAGAATGAGTAGTCATAATCCAAATAATATTTGTTGAAAATGTTAAAATTATACATACAGAGTTATATATATACACTTCCAGAATTGTACAACTATAGTTCCATAATTGCATAACTATAATTCCATAATTTCATATCAATAATTCCATAATTGCATATCTACAATTCCATAATTGCATAACTATAGTTCTATAATTGCATAACTATAATTCCAGAATTACAAAACTATAAAACCAGGGGTTCACAGGTACACATCCAGAACTGAATAACTACATATCCATAATCTAAAAACTATATATTCATAATTTGTGAACACTTACATGTACTAGGGTGGAGAAGTAGACCCGCTTTGTCTCCCCAACCGCACGGGGCATGTTTAGCAATGTAAAACGTAGGGACCAGACATCTAGGAAGCTGCTCAGTAGCTCACCATTGCACATAGTTGCAAAATCGTCCCTTGACAAGTAGTAATCACCATATTTGAACAATGTCTCTCTACAATACAGTAAATAAATAAATATAAGAACATAAATTAATGAATAAAATTTAAGTAAAATAGGTGGATGGAAACATACCCTCCCGGGTGCTCACTTGAGGCTTCCAAAAATGCGTAGTTTGAAAAAACCTTTTCTTTGGGAGTTGCATTATTGATGGAGCCTTTGTTCTTATTCCAATATGGTGACCTCAAATGAAGCGGGATGTTTCTGAATTTGCGCACAGGTCTCTTTCTCACAGTAACATCCTCAACATCAGATTCACTTTCTTCCATAGCTCTGTTGTCCAGAAAAAAACAGAGGCAGTTCATAACCCCACAAGTATAATTCCAGAATTGTATAACTACATTTCCATAATCTATAAACTATATGTCCATAATTTGAGAAATACATATCCATAATTGTAAAGAAATCAATGTCAATAGTTGAATAAGAATATATTCATATTAATCAAACTTAATATTCATAATTATTGATGAATTGAAAACCATATTCATAGTCTAAATCTGCATAAGAAAGCAGTAACCTACTTATCAAATTCATCAATCTCAGCAGCAGCTTGGGCAGCAGGGGTAGTAGGAGTGGTGGATTTTTCGAATGGCACTCTGATTAGTAATGGAGTTGCTTCCTTCTCTGTTGAGGTTGATACTCCTGCACTCCTCACAATGTTATCCACCAAGGTGTCCAAAGGCTGCTGTTGAGATGGTGGTGGGGTTGGTGTAGAGCGTCCAAGTAGCTCAAACGATGGGACTTCTATTTCTATTTCTTTTCTTGTTTTTTCAAAAGTTGCTACCAGAGAATCAACTGCTGATGTGAAGCTTTCACTTCCGAAGAAGATGTCATCCAATTGCGAGGCAGTTGGGCTAGGAGTCGGTTGAATTGTGCTTGCAGCACTCAGCATTGTTGATATTCCTGAAAAAATCCTCTTCATGATTTCAACCGGGGCCCCTTGCTTGCCAATGTCAGACATGACCTGACCGAACTCAAGGACATCTGCTGTAAGCAGTTGAAGCACATTTGTTACTCGGTCAACATTTGTCAGAGGCACAAATGGAGCTGGAATAGATGGTGTAGCAGCAGGGCTGGACACTGGCCTTGGTATTGCAGCAGGAGGAGGTGCAGGTCGGGGTGATGATGTAGATGCAATGGCAGTAGGTCTCTGAAATCGAGGGATAACTTTGCCCTTACCAAAACCCCCTGATTTTATCTCAGCCGATACTCGCTTGTGTACAAGGCTTTTTGTCCAAGCTTTTATTGCCGGGAATGTGCGGTTGACAGTCATGCCTCTGAACTCTACTCGGTCAAAGTAGAAGAGCTTCAAGAATTACAGAAGAGTATGTTAAGGAGTTGAATAACTACATATTTAGAATTGTATGGATGCACATTCTTATTTGCATAACTATAATTCCATAATTATAAAACTACATATCCAGAATTGCATAACTATAATTCCATAATTGGATGACTATAATTCCATAATCCATAAACTACACATCCATAATTGAATAACTATAATTCCATAATTGTAAAACTATTATTCCATAATTGGAAAACCACAATTCCACAATTACAAAACTACACATCCATAAGGGCATAACCACACATACAGAATTGCATATCTATGATTCCATAATTGCATGAATATAATTCCATAATTACAAAACCACACATTCATAATTGTAAAACAATAATTCCATAATTTCAAAAACATAATTCCACAAATACAAAACTACACATCCATAGGTGCATAACCACACATCCAGAATTGAATATCTACAATTACATAATTGCATAAATATAATTCCATAATTAGAACATTTTATGTATAATGGAATCTTACCAGGATGAATACCATTGGACCTCCAAAGGATCTGGTAGGAGAGTCTTTGTAAATGTCATACGAATCAATTAAAGACTTGTACGTGTACTTGCACCAATTAAGTCTTGAGATTGCCCGGATGTTGAGCAATGACTTGATAACTCGATAGTTGGCATATCTTCCAGTATTTCCCCGGAGCAGAGATGACAGCAAACACCACAAAGTCTCTCTTGAAGGTATCTCCATGGTCACCTCTCCTGATTATTTCATCAGGCATCTTTGTTGTTATGGATGACCCTGACTTGACAATCCATCTTTTCCTCCACTCAGTCAGGACCTTATTATATGTAGCTTTAGAATTTTCCTCACTCTTTGTACCTTCCTCAACATCTCTCTTCCCCGGGGGGAGTCTCAAGATGTATTCAACATCCTCTTCACCGACATGTAGATGGTCACCATCCAATATGAAGTCTGATTTGAAAACATCAAACCTTTGCAGAAGATACTCAACAAGTTGTGAGTAATTGCTTGAGAATTGTAGGTGCAGCAGCCCTCCAAAACCCATATCAATCACAGCATCCTTTTCGTCCTGTGTTAGACGCTGGACAAGGTCATACATTTGCTTGGGACCCATTCGTGTACTGAAGTAATTCACATCAGGGTCTCGTACTTTCTCTCGCTTTTGTGGTGGTGCCCTCTTTCTTTTCACAGCTGCTGGTTGTTGCCTTGTCGAAGGCTCTGCTTGATCTTCCTGGGCAGGGGTGAGTTGAGCAGCTTGTGAGCTCAATACTGCTCTGGTTGTTCTCTTTTTTACAGACTTCACAAATTGACCAAGCGTAGCGTCATCTACCACACCTAACTCATCCATTTCTGCAAATAAAAAACATCAAGTGAGGTTAACAGAGTACTATATCCAAAACTTCATAACTACAATTCCATAAACACACAACTATACTTCCAGAATTGTAAAACTACAATTCCATAATCTCATAAGTATACCACAAGGCAAGTTATGCTAAAAAGGATTTGAATGCAGTTTGGTGCACAGAGTAAGGTTCACAGAGTAATACATCCAAAATTGTATAACTATAATTCCATAAACGCACAATTATACTTCCAAAATTGTACAACTACAATTCCATAAGTATACCCACAA